GCTGTCACGTGATGATGCGAGTTGTAATTACTGGCTGTCACGTGATGATGCTAGTGGTAATTACTGACTGTCACGTGATGATGCTAGTGGTAATTACTGGCTGTCACGTGATGATGCTAGTGGTAATTACTGACTGTCACGTGATGATGCTAGTGGTAATTACTGACTGTCATGTGATGATGCTAGTGGTAATTACTGACTGTCACGTGATGATGCTAGTGGTAATTACTGGCTGTCACGTGATGATGCTAGTGGTAATTACTGACTGTCACGTGATGATGCTAGTGGTAATTACTGGCTGTCAGGTGATGATGCTAGTGGTAATTACTGACTGTCACGTGATGATGCTAGTGGTAATTACTGGCTGTCACGTGATGATGCTAGTGGTAATTACTGACTGTCACGTGATGATGCTAGTGGTAATTACTGGCTGTCACGTGATGATGCTAGTGGTAATTACTGGCTGTCACGTGATGATGCTAGTTGTAATTACTGACTGTCACGTGATGATGCTAGTGGTAATTACTGGCTGTCACGTGATGATGCTAGTGGTAATTACTGACTGTCACGTGATGATGCTAGTGGTAATTACTGGCTGTCAGGTGATGATGCTAGTGGTAATTACTGACTGTCACGTGATGATGCTAGTGGTAATTACTGGCTGTCACGTGATGATGCTAGTGGTAATTACTGACTGTCACGTGATGATGCTAGTGGTAATTACTGGCTGTCACGTGATGATGCTAGTGGTAATTACTGGCTGTCACGTGATGATGCTAGTGGTAATTACTGGCTGTCGCCTGATGATGCTAGTTGTAATTACTGACTGTCACGTGATGATGCTAGTGGTAATTACTGACTGTCACCTGATGATGCTAGTGGTAATTACTGACTGTCACGTGATGATGCTAGTTGTAATTACTGTCTGTCACCTGAATATGCTAGTGGTAATTACTGACTGTCACGTGATGATGCTAGTGGTAATTACTGACTGTCACGTGATCATGCTAGTGGTAATTACTGGCTGTCACGTGATGATGCTAGTGGTAATTACTAACAGTCACGTGATGATGCTAGTGGTAATTACTGGCTGTCACGTGATGATGCTATGTGGTAATTACTGGCTGTCACGTGATGATGCGAGTTGTAATTACTGGCTGTCACGTGATGATGCTAGTGTAATTACTGACTGTCACGTGATGATGCTAGTGGTAATACTGGCTGTCACGTGATGATGCTAGTGGTAATTACTGACTGTCACGTGATGATGCTAGTGGTAATTACTGACTGTCATGTGATGATGCTAGTGGTAATTACTGACTGTCACGTGATGATGCTAGTGGTAATTACTGGCTGTCACGTGATGATGCTAGTGGTAATTACTGACTGTCACGTGATGATGCTAGTGGTAATTACTGGCTGTCAGGTGATGATGGTAGTGGTAATACTGACTGTCACGTGATGATGCTAGTGGTAATTATGGCTGTCACGTGATGATGCTAGTGGTAATTACTGACTGTCACGTGATGATGCTAGTGGTAATTACTGGCTGTCACGTGATGATGCTAGTGGTAATTACTGGCGGTCACGTGATGATGCTAGTTGTAATTACTGACTGTCACGTGATGATGCTAGTGGTAATTAATGGCTGTCACGTGATGATGCTAGTGGTAATTACTGACTGTCACGTGATGATGGCTAGTTGGTAATTACTGGCTGTCAGGTGATGATGCTAGTGGTAATTACTGACTGTCACGTGATGATGCTAGTGGTAATTACTGGCTGTCACGTGATGATGCTAGTGGTAATTACTGACTGTCACGTGATGATGCTAGTGGTAATTACTGGCTGTCACGTGATGATGCTAGTGGTAATTACTGGCTGTCACGTGATGATGCTAGTTGCAATTACTGACTGTCACGTGATGATGCTAGTGGTAATTACCGGCTGTCACGTGATGATGCTAGTGGTAATTACTGACTGGCACGTGATGATGCTAGTTGTAATTACTGACTGTCACGTGATGATGCTAGTGGTAATTACTGACTGTCACGTGATGATGCTAGTGGGTAATTACTGGCTGTCACGTGATGATGCTAGTGGTAATTACTGACTGTCACGTGATGATGCTAGTGGTAATTACTGGCTGTCACGTGATGATGCTAGTGGTAATTACTGACTGTCACGTGATGATGCTAGTTGTAATTACTGACTGTCACGTGATGATGCTAGTGGTAATTACTGGCTGTCACGTGATGATGCTAGTGGTAATTACTGGCTGTCACGTGATGATGCTAGTGGTAATTACTGGCTGTCACGTGATGATGCTAGTGGTAATTACTGGCTGTCACGTGATGATGCTAGTTGTAATTACTGACTGTCACGTGATGATGCTAGTGGTAATTACTGTCTGTCACGTGATGATGCTAGTGGTAATTACTGGCTGTCACGTGATGATGCTAGTGGTAATTTCTGGCTGTCACGTGATGATTGATGCTAGTGGTAATTACTGACTGTCACGTGATGATGCTAGTTGCAATACTGACTGTCACGTGATGATGCTAGTTGTAATTACTGGCTGTCACGTGATGATGCTAGTGGTAATTACTGACTGTCACGTGATGATGCTAGTGGTAATTACTGGCTGTCACGTGATGATGCTAGTGGTAATTACTGACTGTCACGTGATGATGCTAGTTGTAATTACTGACTGTCACGTGATGATGCTAGTGGTAATTACTGGCTGTCACGTGATGATGCTAGTGGTAATTACTGGCTGTCACGTGATGATGCTAGTGGTAATTACTGGCTGTCACGTGATGATGCTAGTGGTAATTACTGGCTGTCACGTGATGATGCTAGTTGTAATTACTGACTGTCACGTGATGATGCTAGTGGTAATTACTGTCTGTCACGTGATGATGCTAGTGGTAATTACTGGCTGTCACGTGATGATGCTAGTGGTAATTACTGGCTGTCACGTGATGATTGATGCTAGTGGTAATTACTGGCTGTCACGTGTGATGCTAGTGGTAATTACTGGCTGTCACGTGATGATGCTAGTTGCAATTACTGACTGTCACGTGATGATGCTAGTTGTAATTACTGTCTGTCACGTGATGATGCTAGTTGTAATTACTGGCTGTCACGTGATGATGCTAGTTGTAATTACTGGCTGTCACCTGATGATGTGAGTTGTAATTACTGGTGAAATGTCGTACTCGAATTGTAAATGTTGTAGTGGGTTTTACTTTCCACCACACCGATGTGCTGTATTAGTAACGAATTGGCATTGTTTTGTTTACGCGACAAACCCTACCAATTGGTTGTATCGGGTGGTGTTGACGGGTTTAAACGACATTTCTATTTAAAACATTTATATTTAAGCGATCTAACCCAAAAAACCCGTCTTATTTAGCGATGTGCAGTGATCACCGCGTCTGTCTCTGCTGCTGCTACTGCTGCCACTTCTTTCAACGACAAAAAAAAAGATCGGAGTCCCAAATTTGGGGGAGGGGGGGTCGGCGGTGGAGAAGGATCAGGGCTGAAGCAATCGGCCGTCACTCGAGAATAAATACAAAAAAATATCTAAATGTAAAATAAAAACACGTGCTATGTAGGAATAAGAAAACATGATTGCACGTACTGTAGAAGACAACTTGATGATGCAGGCAGTGGTGAGAAGGAAACTACCACTATTTGGACACGTATTATGTAGGTTGGACAATAACAGCAGTTGTTCGGAGAAATGGAAGGAACCGGACAGAGAGGAAGACCTAACAGAGAATGTGCTTGACGATGACGACGACGACGACGTAAGACATCGGTGCCAGTAAGATGTGGCCACTACTTTGAGCATGTTGTCACCACAAGACAGAGAAAGCGGGAAACAACGAATGGCGAAATGTACAATTGACACCACCTTCTGCGGGCTGTGTGTCCGTGGATCGTGATGATCGTTGTGGTGGCGGGTGATGATGATGAAATGCGTGACGCTGCGCCTCGCCTTTCTCGACGATAATTTCAACGGCCCTTAAAATGGAGCGGGTAAAATTCAACAGGTAATCTTGTCCGCTACGAAGAAGGGCCGGTGTTTAGGAGAAATTAAGAACTGAATATGCAAGAGGCAACGTGACGGATGACAGCCCTTCGTCAAAGCGCGCCGTCTAATGTACCACGTTAAACTTCTGTCGTGGTAATGGCTCTGCATCAGGTTTGACCTCGGGTGCCGTGGTGGCGAGATGGTAACTACCTCGCCTGGTGTGCAGGAGGTCGTGGCTTCGATCCGCACTCTGACGTCTGATGTATATTTGGAGTTTGCGTGTCTCTCATCATCATCATCATCACGGTGGCTAGGAGATGTTAATTACCTCGCCTGGTATGCAGGAGGTCCTGGCTTCGATCCCGACCCTGACGTCTGATGTATATTTGGAGTTTGCAGTGTCTCTCCCTTTCTCATCATCATCACGGTGGCTAGGAGATGTTAATTACCTCGCCTGGTATGCAGGAGGTCTTGGCTTCGATCCCGACCCTGACGCCTGCTGCTGTGTATTTGGAGTTTGCGTGTCTCTCATCATCATCATCATCACGGTGGCTAGGAGATGTTAATTACCTCGCCTGGTATACAGGAGGTCTTGGCTTCGATCCCCGACCCTGACGCCTGCTGCTGTGTATTTGGAGTTTGCGTCTCTCTCTCTCCCCGTGGTTCGCGCGGATTTTCTCTCCACATTGAGAATCAACATCACGCGTTTAGAGTGTTTTGGCTGCTGTATATTTGCACGTGATGATGATGATGAGCCACATAGTTGAGCTATCGTTTGTGATCGCCAGGTTCGCTTCTGAAAAAACACAGCTGCATAGCAGCTCAGTGGAGGCCTTACCTGGTGAAATAATAACATTTTAGTTGAATAGCTTTAGTTTCAGTGCCCCACCGAGCCCCTGTTGTTGCTGTTGCTGCTGCTGCTGCTAACGTCAACTCACTGCTCTCTCGTCTTTCTCAGTGCGTCTGACGAGGGAGCGCTCCTTCTGGAAGTCAGGTAACCCTTGCCGACACCTCGCGCTCAGCGCTCACTCGATCTCTGTCCACCCCGGCCGCTACGAGCGTGTCCACGCGTAACGATCGTAAACAAAGTGAACACAAACGTGCCCAGTCATACTCCTTAGCATTTTCGGTAAAGTCACGTAGGTAAAAAAATTTAATAAAAATTTATAAAAAATAAAATAATATTTAATATTATTAATTTTAATTTCATTTTTTTACCTACTTGACTTTACCGAAAAAACTAAGAGTATGAATCCTTGCAGTCACGAAAGCTTCAAATATAGAAGTGCCCAGGTCAACTAAGTGAGAACTCTCTGGCGGAGGGGAGGGGGGGTGACGAGGGGGACGATGGCTTCGAGGTTTCCACTCGAGCGGCCGACCCGGTTAATGCCGCGCCTGGGCGCGTTGACAGCAGCCCGCGTGCGCGTGGGCCGCTCAAACGAGCGCCGTTTTGCTCCACCCTCGGTAGCCAGGCTCGTAGCGCAGCGCGAGTACACACACACACGAGTACACACACACACGAGTACACACACACACGAGTACACACACGAGTACACACACACACACGAGTACACACACACACGAGTACACACACGAGTACACACACACACACGAGTACACACACACGAGTACACACACACACGAGTACACACACGACAACACACACACGAGTACACACACGAGTACACACACACACGAGTACACACACACACACGAGTACACACACACGAGTACACACACACACACGAGTACACACACACACGAGTACACACACACGAGTACACACACAAACAAGTACACACACACACGAGTACATACACACACGAGTACACACACGAGTACACACACACACACGAGTACACACACACACGAGTACACACGAGTACACACACGAGTACACACACACACACGAGTACACACACACACGAGTACACACACACGACAACACACACACACGAGTACACACACACGAGTACACACACACACACGAGTACACACACACACACGAGTACACACACACGAGTACACACACACACACACGAGTACACACAACACGAGTACACACACACGAGTACACACACAACAAGTACACACACACACGAGTACACACACACACACGAGTACACACACACACAAGTATACACACACACACGACAACACACAAGTATACACACACACACACGAGTACACACGCGGACGCACACGTGGGCACACAGACACGGGCACAGACCCGGACAGCTGGGTTCCATAAGGGGCCGTCCATAAATGACGTCACGCACCTAGGGGGGGGGGGATCAGACATTTGTGACGATGTGTGACGGGGGGGGGGGAAATGTGACGTCACATCAAAATGCGCAACTTTTAATAAATATAGACAACACGTTCTACTTAATTAAACGGACTTTTAAGAAATGTTTCTCCTACAATATCAGAATGCAACGCCACATTAAATACGCACTACAATGACAATAGTTTAAAGCGATTTGAAGCATGTTTTATTTGGGGGGGGGGCAGAGCTTTGTGACGTCATATTTGAGGAGAGGGGGGTCTGACTTTTTGTGACGCCGTGTGACGAAGTAGGGGGGGGGGGGGTCAAGTGGTAAAAAATCGTCCAAAATCGCGTGACGTCATTTATGGACGGCCCAGAAGCTTTCGACTCAACAATCTCCCCTAACCTCCCCCCCCACCCCACCGGGGGTGTCCAGGCTACGCGACCTACCCCGGCCACCGCCGCACCCCCCCGCCGAGCCCGCGCCCCCCGTCCGCCTTCCCGTGCCCCGTGTGCCAGCGCGACGTGGAGCTGGGCGAGCGAGGACTCGCCTCGCTCTGCCGCAACTTCGCGCTCGAGGGGGTCGTGGAGCGCCACCGGGTGGCGCGGGGGGGCGCCATCCCGTGCCAGGCGTGCCGCCCGGCGGGGGCGGCGGCGGCGTCCCGCGCCGCCACCAAGAGCTGCCTCGACTGCAAGAGCAGCTTCTGCAAGGCGTGCTTCAAGCTGCAGCACCCGTGGGGCACGCCGCGCGCGCAGCACGAGTTCGTGGCGCCCACCACCAGCTTCAGGCCCAAGGTGGGCGGCGGGCGGGCAGGTGGGTAGGGGGTGGGGAGGTGGGTAGGGGGTAGGGAGATGGGTAGGAGGTGGGGAGGTGGGTAGGTGGGCAGGTGGGCAGGTGGGCAGGTGGGCAGGTGGACAGGTGGGCAGGTGGGTAGGTAGGCATGTGGGTAGGGGGTGGGCAGGTGGGCAGGTGGGCAGGTGGGCAGGTGGGTTGGTGGGCAGGTGGGCAGGTGGGTAGGTGGGCAGGTGGACAGGTGGGTAGGGGGTGGGCAGGTGGGTAGGGGGTGGGGAGGTGGGTAGGGGGGTGGGTAGGTGGGCAGGTGGGTAGGTGGGCAGGTGGATAAGTGGGCAAATGGGCAGGTGGGCAGGTGGGTAGGTGGGTAGGTGGGCAGGTGGACAGGTGGGTAGGTGGGCAGGTGGGTAGGTGGGCAGGTGGGCAGGTGGGTAGGTGGGCAGGTGGGTAGGTGGGCAGGTGGGCAGGTGGGCAGGTGGGTAGGTGGGCAGGTGGGCAGGTGGGTAGGTGGGCAGGTGGACAGGTGGGTAGGAGGTGGGTAGGTGGGCAGGTGGGTAGGGGGTGGGGAGGTGGGTAGGGGTGGGGAGGTGGGCAGGTGGGCAGGTGGATAGGTGGGCAGGTGGGTAGGTGGGCAGGTGGGCAGGTGGGCAGGTGAGCAGTGGGTAGGTGGGTAGGTGGGCAGATGGGTAGGTGGGCAGGTGGGCAGGTGGGCAGGTGGGTAGGTGGGCAGGTGGGCAGGTGGGTAGGTGGGCAGGTGGGCAGGTGGGTAGGTGGGTAGGTGGGCAGGTAGGCAGGTGGGTAGGTGGGCAGTGGGTAGGTGGGCAGTGGGTAGGTGGGTAGGTGGGCAGGTGGGTAGGTGGGCAGGTGGGCAGGTGGGTAGGTGGGCGGTGTGCGGGCAGGCATGTGGGTAAGGGGTGGGGAAGTGGGGAGACTGGCAAGTGGGCAGGTGGGTAGGTGGGCAGGGTGGGCAGGTGGGCAGAAGGGTAGGTGAACAAGTGGGCAGGAGGGCAGATGAACAGGTGCTCTAGAAAAAAAGAATAATATTAATTAAAGGCGTCAGTCACATCGCTCCGCGCTCGCCGTTTGGAGACTCCTGGCTCGTGCAGCTAGCAGCCTCTGAGGCCTCCTCCTCCTCACCCTCACGGCCAGGCCTGGCAGTGGTGGTGGTGGTGATGGTGGTGGTGATGGTTTTGATTGTGATGACAATGGCGGTGGTGGTGGTGCTGGTGGTGATGATGGTGGTGGTGATGATGGTGGTGCTGGTGGTGGTTTTGATTGTGATGACAATGGCGGTGGTGGTGGTGCTGGTGGTGATGATGGTGGTGGTGGTGCTGGTGGTGGTGATGGTGGTGGTTTTGATTGTGATGACAATGGCGGTGGAGGTGGTGCTGGTGGTGATGATGGTGGTGATGGTGGTGATGATGGTGGTGCTGGCAGTGGTGGTGCTGGTGGTGGTGCTGGTGGTGGTTTTGATTGTGATGACAATGGCGCTGGTGGTGCTGGCAGCGGTGATGATCATGACGGTGCTGGCGGTGGTGGTTGTGGTGGTTGTGACGTTGATGACGATGGCGCTAAATGAACTTCACGGCACGGCGCGTTCCTGGGGCCGGCAGCCGAGGAGGAGGAGGGGGAGGAGGAGGAGGGGGAGGAGGAGGGGGAGGGAGGAGGAGGGGGAGGAGGAGGGGGAGGGGGTGGAGGAGGAGGAGGAGGAGGGGGTGGAGGGGGGGGGAGGAGGAGGGGGAGGAGGAGGGGGAGGGGGAGGAGGGTGAGGGGGAGGGGGAGGAGGAGGAAGGGGAGGAGGAGGAGGAGGAGGAGGGGGAGGAAGAGGGGGAGGGGGAGGAGGAGGAGGAGGAGGGGAGGAGGAAGAGGAGGGGGAGGGGGAGGAAGAGGAGGGGGGGGGGGGGAGGAGGGGGAGGGGGGGAGACGACGCCGAGCGGGAGGGGAAAGCGGCGTGGCGTGGCCTCGGTCAGCACAAACGAGGGACGAGCGGCAAATACATTAGTTCCGTTTCACCTTCTCGTGCCCCCCCCCCCCCCCACCTTCACCACCCCACCTTCACCACAGTACCGTCATATACTCGCCCACTTAGTGCACTGGTCTTGATCCACTGGGCCCCTGTGAGTGCGGGGTTTTGTGATATATATATATTGTATATTTTTTAAAAGGACTGCGTTGCTAAATCTGACCAATTGAGATGACATTGCAAATTGTGGAATTTGGGGAAAGATTGGAGGGGGTGGAGGTCTAGATTGATTTTTTTTCTTCTTTATTTGGCACGAGATGGGTGATTCCGACATTCGGGACGTGGGATCAAATGGGTGATTCTTTCTTGATTGGAAGTTTTCGTGACTGCAGGAATGCATACTCTTTGGTTCTTTCGGTAAAGTCACGTCGGTAGAAAAAATAAAATAATGAATTACGACGTTTCGATCGCAACACAAGCACTCGTCATCAGGTAGAGAGATAAAGCAGAGAACTGTTCAGAAGTTCTGAGCGCGGTGGCTCTTTGAGGACAGCGGTGGCGGCTCTTGAAATAAAATAAGTATAACCCGTAAAACAAAGTTTTTCACTATAAATCCTTTAATGCGTGGCAGCGAACTTAATATAAAGGATTAAAAAATATATTCACCTGTGGAGGACGCGGGGATCGATCCCGCGACCTTTGGCATGGGAAGCGAGGGCGCTACCAACTGCGCTACGTCCGCCACGGCCTGTGGAGGGGTTACGCTCTGGGCTCTACACTCTGACGTTCAGCCAAAGCATGAATGCGTTCTATTTGAATATATGTAAAATTATTTTTTTTTTTGACTAAAACGTGTAACATTTTGGGAATTTTTTTTCACGAACAATAATTGTCTGGCACAACGAGTCTGTGTGGAAAATGTCAGCTCGATTGGATCACGGGAAGTGGGTTAAAAAACGACCGAAAGATTTGCACGGTCCTAGCAAGCAAGCAAGCACGCGAACTTAATATAAAGGATTTAAAAAGGAAATGGGTCTACGTGTTATTGTGGTTGCCAGTTTACCATGGGAGTCCAGTTCACCATGATAGTCTAGTTCACCATGGGAGTCCAGTTCACCATGGAAGTCCAGTTTACCATGGGAGTCCAGTTCACCATGGAAGTCCAGTTTACCATGGGAGTCCAGTTCACCATGGGAGTCCAGTTCACCATGGAAGTCCAGTTTACCATGGGAGTTCAGTTCACCATGGAAGTCCAGTTTACCATGGGAGTTCAGTTCACCATGGAAGTCCAGTTCACCATGGAAGTCCAGTTCACCATGGAAGTCCAGTTTACCATGGAAGTCCAGTTCACCATGGGAGTTCAGTTCACCATGGAAGTCCAGTTTACCATGGGTATCCAGTTCACCATGGAAGTCCAGTTCACCATGGGAGTTCAGTTCACCATGGAAGTCCAGTTTACCATGGGAGTTCAGTTCACCATGGGAGTCCAGTTCACCATGGGAGTCCAGTTCACCATGGAAGTCCAGTTTACCATGGGAGTCCAGTTCACCATGGAAGTCCAGTTTACCATGGGAGTTCAGTTCACCATGGAAGTCCAGTTCACCATGGAAGTCCAGTTTACCATGGGAGTCCAGTTTACCATGTGAGTCCAGTTCACCATGGGAGTCCGGTTCACCATGGGAGTTCAGTTCACCATGGAAGTCCAGTTTACCATGGGAGTCCAGTTTACCATGGGAGTCCAGTTCACCATGGGAGTCCAGTTCACCATGGAAGTCCAGTTCACCATGGAAGTCCAGTTCACCATGGAAGTCCAGTTCACCATGGAAGTCCAGTTCACCATGGGAGTCCAGTTCACCATGGAAGTCCAGTTTACCGTGGAAGTCCAGTTCACCATGGGAGTCCAGTTCACCATGGGAGTCCAGTTCACCATGGAAGTCCAGTTCACCATGGGAGTCCAGTTTACCATGGAAGTCCAGTTCACCATGGGAGTCCAGTTCACCATGGGAGTCCAGTTTACCATGGGAGTCCAGTTCATCATAGGAGTCCAGTTCACCATGGGAGTCCAGTTCACCATGGGAGTCCAGTTCACCATGGAAGACCAGTTCACCATGGGAGTCCAGTTCATCATGGGAGTCCAGTTTACCATGGGAGTCCAGTTCACCATGGGAGTCCAGTTCACCATGGGAGTTCAGTTCACCACGGGAGTCCAGTTCATCATGGGAGTGCAGTTCACCATGGGAGTCCAGTTCACCATGGGAGTCCAGTTCACCATGGGAGTTCCAGTTCACCACGGGAGTCCAGGTTCACCACGGGAGTCCCGTTCACCAGGGAGTCCAGTTCACCATGGGAGTCCAGTTCACCATGGAAGTCCAGTTCATCATGGGAGTCCAGTTCACCATGGGAGTCAGTTCACCATGGGAGTTCAGTTCACCATGGGAGTTCAGTTCACCCTAGGGGAGTCCAGTTCATCATGGGAGTCCAGTTCAGCATGGGAGTATCAGTTCACCATGGGAGTTCAGTTCACCATGGGAGTCCAGTTCACCATGGGAGTCCAGTTCACCATGGGAGTCCAGTTCACCACGGGAGTCCAGTTCACCACGGGAGTCCAGTTCACCAGGAGTCCAGTTCACCATGGGAGTCCAGTTCACCATGGAATTCCAGATCATGGGAGTCCAGTTCACCATGGAAGTCCAGTTCATCATGGGAGTCCAGTTCACCATGGGAGTCCAGTTCACACGGGAGTCCAGTTCACCACGGGAGTCCAGTTCACCATGGGAGTCCAGTTCACCATGGGAGTCCAGTTCACCACGGGAGTCCAGTTCACGGGAGTCCAGTTCACCATGGGAGTCCAGTTCACCATGGAAGTCAGTTCATCATGGGAGTCCAGTTCACCATGGAAGTCCAGTTCACCGTGGGAGGCCAGTTCACCATGAGAGTCCAGTTCACCATGGGAGTTCAGTTCACCATGGGAGTCCAGTTTACCGTGGGAGTCCAGTTCACCATGGGAGTTCAGTTCACCATGAGAGTCCAGTTCACCGTGGGAGTCCAGTTCACCATGGGAGTCCAGTTCACCATGGGAGTCCAGTTCACCATGGTAGTTCAGTTCACCATGGAAGTCCAGTTCACCGTGGGAGTCCAGTTCACCATGGGAGTCCAGTTCACCATGGGAGTCTAGTTCACCATGGGAGTCCAGTTCACCATGGTAGTTCAGTTCACCATGGAAGTCCAGTTCACCGTGGGAGTCCAGTTCACCATGGGAGTCCAGTTCACCATGGGAGTCTAGTTCACCATGGGAGTCCAGTTCACCATGGTTGTCCAGTTCACATGGAAGTCCAGTATTCACCACCACGGCTGTCGTTGTTGTTTGTTTGCCGACACCCCACGTGCTGCTTGCGCTGCAGGTGCTGCTGTGCCCGGAGCACGAGGCGGAGCGGGTGACGGTGTACTGCGAGGTGTGCCGCCGGCCCCTGTGCCACCTGTGCAAGCTGGGGGGCGCCCACAGCAACCACAAGATCTCATCCATCACCAACGCCTACCGCACGCTCAAGGCGAGACTCGCCCGAGGGCGAACAGCAACAACAACAACAAACAACACAGACAACAAACACAGCAAATAACAACAACTGCAAACACAACAAACAGCAAATATCAAACAGACAACATACAACAGCAAACAACACAACAATAAACAGCAGGACAACAACTAACACACAACATCAGCAACAGACAATGACCAACAACAGCAAACAAAATACAGCAAACAACAACACATAACAGCAACTAACAACAACAACAAACAACTCCCCCAGAGGAGGGGGAGGAGGGCACAGTGGCGGAACAAATAAAGACAAAGATCCACCGTATAGCCTAACAGATGTTAGGGCAAGTGCTGTAGCCAAGTGGCTAACATGTGCTTGATGCTTAATGCACACCCGCATCAGCTCTCGTTTTTAAGGCTGAGTCGGCCATAGCGGAGGGCCAGCACCGGTTCGGATATTTGGTCTTTGCCAGGATTCGTAGGGCAGTGCAGGGCTAACCACTGTGCCATCACTCCCCCCCCCTTACCCTCCTCCCTGTAAAGTATTTTTTAATGAAGAGTTCGTGATGTCTATACTTAGAGGGCGCCACGGTGGCTAGGAGATGTTGACTACCTCGCCTGGTGTACAGGGGGTCGTGGGTTCGATCCCGACCGTGACGCCGCCTGTCTATTTGGACTGTGCGTGTCTCCTCTCCCGTGCTCACGTTGATTCTCCGGTCTCACAGTATTTTTTCCCTCACATGTAGAATCAACACACAGTTAGCGTATTTGGCTGCTATACATCCTCATTAGTTGAGCTATCATTTGGGATGCTGCTATAGGCTGGCTCCGATTAGGGATTGTTGGCGTAAGGCACTACCACTAGAGGCAAGGCACTCTAGTGGTAGTGCCTTAGTGAGCTATCATTTGCGATAGGCCAAGGTCGATGCTGAGAAAGATCTCCGCAGCTCAGCGCGTTACCTTGCTGGTTAAGTAGGAAACCGATTTCTAGTTTTTGTTCATTCACGACGTGGCTAAAAACCCAAGACCGCCTTCACTCTGCGACTACACGCGGACATTCAACCGTCGCTGTGCATCATGGCCAAAGGAATGAATTGTAGATGCTGTTGCTGCTGCTTTGGCAGTGGTGGTAACAAACAACAACCTCAACACATTTCGATTAAAGCTTTCGTGACTGCAGGGATTTATTCTTGTTTCTTTCGGTTTTAAAGTCACGTAGAAGGGAAATAATAAAAATAAAACATAATTAAAAAACCTCAACACACTAATCAATAAACAACACTGTGGCCTTAAAAGGACAACTACATATATATAATAATGGCGTTTCGGGCAATGACCCTTCATCATGGCCGTAGAATCCCGTGCTATGATAACTTAAACTTTTTTTAGAAAGTTATTTTACCGGGTGAGGCCCCACCGGGCTCTGTCGCTCTTTTTCAGAAGTGAGAGCTCAGCGAAGCGGCTGATTATCATCATCATCATCATCACGTGGACATTTATAGCCGCAGACAAATCCTCTCAAGCGCGTGGTGATGTTGATTTTAAATGAAGGGACACGAAACCGCAGACCTGGAGAAAAATCCACGCGACCACGGGGAAAGACAGCGAGAGACTTTTGACTTTTAAACAAACTTTTATTACCGCCAGCAGCAACAGCACTGGAGGCGATTCCGAGATGAAATACACAAAGTTACCAGCAAACAAACAAAATAAACAAACGCTAAAAATCCACGCGCCGTGGCGCTAAAAGCACCGCGCACAAAACGAAAGAAAAGTCACGTGGTGGTGGTGGTGGTCATCGCGCACGCCACGGTGACGAGCGAGCGCTTCAGAAGGTGAACACCACGAGGGTGCCGTCCACGCTGGTACAGAGAGGGGCTTGTCCGGCTCCCCAGCGTTCGAAGAAGACGTACTCATCACCGACATGTGTGTGGTACGCGTGCTCCAGCCGGAGCCGCGCCTTGAGCAGGCCCCTGCACTGGACAGAGAGAGAGAGACAGGCAGACTGCACACACACAGCAGGCGTCAGAGTTGGTATCGAACCCACGGCCACCGTCATAGCAGGCGAGGGAGTTGACGTCTCGCCACCACGGAGCCCCGAACATGATGAAGGGCCATAGCCCGAAACGTCGCCTATTACGTATCATCATTTTAGTCTGCGCACACACACACTTGTGTTGTTGACGGGCGTGTTGACGACGATGTCGTCGTGTGTTGTTGTGTTGATGTGCACCACGACCAACGCAACGCGTGCGTGCGTGGCTGAACTTCTTTCACTCCATACGTGTCCCCAGCTTGAAGTCGCGTGGGGGGGGGGTGAGCTGATCACGCCACGGACGGCCCCGAAGCAATCATCAGGCTCGTGCGGTGCGTTGACGGGCTGAGCGGTAGGGGATGAAAGCGTCGTCCTGGTGTCTCATGTCCACCCCCCCCCTGCCTCCACCTACCTACCCCCCGCCACGACACCGAAACCAGGACAAACTCTCCAAGAGCGTCGCCTACCTCGTCAGCAAGGAGCCCGAGGTGCGCGCTCGCATGGACGACATCGACGACGACATGCGGCAGGTGGAGGTAACGTGGCCGGGGGCGGGGCGGGGGGGGGGAAGGGGCGGGGAGGGGCGAGGGGGCGGGGGGGCGGGGTGGGGGGTGGTAGTTTGAAAATTGCGGCGTCAAGTTGGTCATTGTCACGCTCCAAAATTTTGCCAAATTTCCAACGAAAACATGCGCTCGCAAGTGCCTCATTTGGGATTCTAACGAGCAGTAGCAGCTGCAGTAGCAGCAACAGTAGCAGCAGTAGCAGGCAGCAGTAGCAGCAGTAGCAGCAGCAGTAGCGGCATTGACCCCACTTCGAAAACTCAGCAGGTCCAGAATA